CATCGCGGCTGAAAACCTGCCGCTGCCACGCCGTCATGCGCTTTAGAATTTGGTGTTGCACGGCTGCCGCGCCGCGATGCTTTAAAAAGTGAAAGCCGCCGCGCCGCCTCGCATAATAAAAGAACCTACCGCTACTGCGACGTTATGAATAGGATAGTCTTTAGAACGTTCTGTCCTCCAGAGAGTGAATGCAGATACTTTCTTATTTTCACTTTTGAAATTAAAACTGGTTGAATCAGTTATGAATTGACTCAACCGATTGAGTTGAAACGGTTGAAATGGTTATAAGCTATTTTAACTCTAACAGTGCTTATTTTCGCCTTGGGATTATTTCATGCTTTGACAGACATAGAATCATAGGACTTGTTTTTCGCGAAACGCCAGCATCTAAAACACAGTGCACTTCATCATTAGATGAAAATGTTCTTTTGACAAAAAACAAAAATGCTTAACATTTTAACGATCGTTTTATAAGAGCAGGCGATTGTTTAAAGTACTTTCTAATTTTCTCTTTGGACCGTCTTTATCAAAAAGTTAAGTGTGCCGGTGTGTAGCTACCGATGTTACGGGTAGAAAGTTCTAGGGTTCTATATCTGTGGAAACATGGAAGAATGCTACGGCGAAATTAAGAAAGTACTCGGGAGTACTGTAACAACCCACGAGAATACCTTTTATGTCCTTACGTTTCTGCTATTGTTGTCATGCCCTTCGGATTTGTCCTTGTGTGTCTTTCAAATATTGTATCACGCTTTATTGTATCCTTGCTTGTCTGCTCTCTCTTCACAGTGCGTATATAAGCACATGCTTTCTATGCAAGCAGTACGATTATGTGATACGAAGGAATAGAATAAAGTGTAACTCCATCAGCACTAATATCCCTTCTATCATTTATCGTCACAAGTACTTGCGTTCATTGTCTGCTGTCCTCTAATATAAAAACATGCGTATGTATTATACGATTGATAGATGACGAAACCGTTTACAATTACGAATTCATTAAAGCTTCAGTCGAATAATAAGCACACATTGAATAATCAAAACCGTTTGAAATCACAAGATTTTTAATTATATAAAAAACAATGGTACAGATCAAATAAGATATTCATTCTTCATTCGCACAAAGAATATTTCGCAGTAGAAAGAGCTAGAAATTATGGAAACTTAGACTCGGCCCGAGATTATATAGTGCCAAAGGAGCAAAATGAAATAGAATGCGATATCATTATCTAGAATGCTACGATTTATTACTTCGATATATATGAGTTTCAAGAAAATATTTTGCCTGTTATTGATACAAAAACGGGATTCATATCTGTTACAAAAAAATCCGGAGAATCGATTCAACTATTTAGTATATTTCATATTTTTTAAAATTAATTTCATATAAAAATCTTCTACAAGAAAGTAATCATTTGCACGTTGAATGAGTTTATTTTGCGTTTCCTAAGATTTATCGAGTTCTTCTGATAACTGGCATACTATTCACTTGATCAGGTAATAGTTTCTATCTTTCTATCTTCTATTGTTTAATACAATCCCATTGTGACTAAAAACTCTTTCAGTTTTTAAAGATGTAGCAGGTATCGAAAAAGCTTTCGGGCAAGATATTTCAAAAAAGGAAATTCCAAAGATGCCAATTCACTTGACCAAAAGTTAATAATAAGTTGGTGTTCATTAGTGAGAAATGCTCACACGATGATAATTATTATATTACATGAAAATATGACCAATTGATATGTATAACAATCATAATATTATAGAATAAGTATCTCAGAAACTTTATGGGCATGTTCTCAAATAAGATCACCATATAATCATACTATGCGGGCACTTGTATTTTCTCTTACACGATGAAAGAAGAATTGAAATCTCTTGATTGAGGGAAAAAATCCGCTCTAATTTGAATCATAATGGAACTATAATCTAAAGTGTTATAGATAATCACAGGAAAAAATTAACAATTGTTTTCAAAACGTCAACCGCTGCCGCGCCGATACCGCTATGGTCTTTTTAAAAATCCACCGCTACCGCCATGGACATCTCTGCTATAACTTATGTGACGTGTCCATGTGTTAGATATTACTCGTCAACAGAAAATCTAATTCTCAATGTTGCTCTGAATACATTGAAAAAACTTGAAGTGTTGTTCATTTCACTCAGAGAGATATGAGAGAAGAGATGTACTGCACTAGTAAATGACACAAATAATTTATACAAAAGAAAAAAGTCCTCAATCGTCTAAATTGCTCAAAATCAAAGGATGATTTCTTATTACTATTTTTTCGTTTATAATAAGAAATATTTTGAGTTAAGTATTATGTGAAGAAACAACAGACATGCTACAGCTACATCATCTGCGTTTCAAATGATTTTTCTTTTCGATCAGTGTTCGTTGTTTGAAGACAAACTACTATTGACCAATAGGAATGACCTAATCAGATAATTTAGATACGAAAAAAAAACAGAAAAGAAAAGAATAAATAATGTTCAAGTGATCGAACATGCATAAAAGCATATTGATAAATCTATATGTGACAACGATGTTAAAAAATACAATTATTTCCATAAAACAATTTAATCTGAATAAAAACTATGAATATTGTACTTTATTCACAGAAAAAAATGTAAAAGACTAAAAATTGTGATTACTCGTTCATTAAATTGATATACCTTACTCTGACACCATCATTTGAAGAAATTATCAAATGAGGCTTGTGAATAACTTAATGAAAAATAGAAACTGCAATTAGGTTCAAAAATTAATGTGAGCTCTGGGAATGAGTTTCTATATATAAGATGAAAAGTAAGCACAGGTATGTATGTCAGCTGATCATTTTACATAGATGTACATACACTGGTCAACATATACATGTACAACCACTCTTTATGTATATTGCTGGTCTCTCTTGCAAGACAATATACGGTGAAAACACTAACAACAGTATGGGATTCTCAACACTCTCAAAAGATTGCTGCGCTTAGTTGAAGTTATTAACGATGCTTTATTGCACTGTTTCTTAACCTACTCTCTTGAATATGATATGTCAGCATCACATATCATTGTTGAAAACAATCAATTTATTGAATCAAAGTATAGTACAGAGATTAACATTTTTATTCATTGAACGACTTTTGACTCATTCTGTGACAGTTATTATTATTATTTGATAAAAATCTGTATGAAAAACACTTCAGTAGTGATTTCTTTTTCATTTTTTTATAAAGAAAAAAGTACACAAATCGATCCTATGGGATGAGTACATTTACGAGCGTCCAGTAAATGTTAACTTCTATCTTACTTCTATTGTATATATTATCGATCCAAAATTCAGATATTTCGATCTAATTTTTCTATTTATCGAATATTTTACAATAAGAGACTTTATATGAGTGGTGACTGAATTTCTTGATAATGGCTGTGGGTTAATATGGTGACGAAAAATTATTAATTTTCTACTAATGTATTTTTCATATAGATTTTGTTTAGCAGACAAGATTTAACTATCATAAAAAAAATATACTACATACCAAATAATCTCTTGGTCGAATTAGTACGCTTCACTTTCTTTAACTATCGTACTTTCACTTGACTCATAGTTACTTGTTCATCATAATGGTATATTTTAGTTCATACAACAGTCCAACACATATTAACAAAAGCAGTCGAGATTGGAGATGGCTATATTAGTACCAGATAGCCACCAGTTACAATATAATTAATCATTGATCGTTTTTATTGTTCGATAACACATCGCTATTTTTGAGAAATGATAAATTGAGATATCTTAACAAAGAAAAATCCTATGCTAAACTTTACAAAATATTGTGATATACGACAGAAAGAATTTGAGAATTTCTTGCAACTATTAACACATTCAAACATCTTGATATCCAACAACATTTATCATATTAGTACGTATGTTGAGGATGGTATCTATTATTATAACATGTGGAATGCGAATGTTGAAAAGTAACTGTACTTTAACTTTAAATTTATAAAAGTAAAGGCTTAAAGTACGACTACTTTAACTTTAACTTTAAAGTAAAGTTAAAATACCATCCCTAGTTATACTCATGATTATCCTAACAATTTTAAGTATTGACATACTTCTCTATGTCATTGGCTTAAGAACATCAGGACATAATTAAGCTGGCGTTTTTTCTGTAGCAACATCATCGTCATCAGTTTTTAGCATCATTTCACTTCTTTTACTCCTCACTTGTATCATAATACTAGGAATCATTTTGATCGATGTTATGCAAAACGAGCATCTTCCACTTATGTTTTTCTTATGGCTAATTAGTTATTTCGTCAATGTTTATACTTGGAATATATATGTTATTTATCTTTTCCGTACATAAGTATTCATGCAATGTGATGGTAATAACATTTACATTTACATTTACATTTACGTATCCTTCATCGATAATTGAAACTTACCAGCTATTTGATCTATATCATATCAATGAAAAGACAGTAGCCTCTGCGAAATAACAACAACAACCAAAACTTGTTATGGTTAATTTAAACTGTTATTAATAGAAAACGATGATAGAATAGTTGTACAAAGAAATGTTTTGATATATGTCCTTTTTGAAATTATACTTTATTAGTCACTCCATTATATTGGTAATATACAGTGTGTATATTCGACAATGTCTATAAATGAATGTAGAAAAAAATGCAAACACATTACACTATTTTGAGATGTTGATTTGTCTCTTAAATGAAATCATGTTTTGTTTACAAAAAACGATAATATTTCGAGTATTGATATTGAATATAACTCGTTTAGACGTTAATATGAATAATTTGATAAATGAAATTTTCCTTGGAGTCCATGAAAATTAGTCAATGTCAACATATATTTATCTATACAAAATAGACAACAAAACCAATCAACCATATACTTCTTTTCTGTCTCACTCATATGAAACATTGAGGCCTGACATACGATTGTAACCTTCGTCATCATTCCGTAAACAGTCATCTAATAGCGATGAACAAATTATGGTCAAGACCTACAACGAAAACCAAAAAGAATTCTTCAGCTATTCATGTATATCATAATCGTCAATTTCCATTGAAAGACATCGTTGATGTTCTATATCCACTTTTTGGTAATGATTATCCATATAATGATTTACTTTATCTGATTGATACAGCTCATCATATCTTTTGTGCATATGATGAAACCAAACATCTTTGTGTTGGTTGTGCATTAATCAAAAGTGTTAAAACAGGAGGTCTTTATTTATCGTTATTCGGCGTACGACAATCAAGTCAACATCGTGGTGTAGGTACACAATTATTAAAAAAAATTATACGTTGGGCATATCGAACAGGACATAGTTTCATTTATTTACATGTACATGTTATAAATTATAAAGCGATTGGTTTATATGAAAAAGTTGGATTTCGTACAGATGACTATTTACCTGGTTTCTACTCTGCTTCATCAAAACCAAAACCTGATGCATTCCAAATGGTTTTATATTTCCAATAATGTATCTAAACTTTTGTGTTTTATACAAATCACATCAATTCAAGGTTTATTTCTTTTTATTATTATTACTGATATACAAAAAAGAAAAAGAAAAAAAAAGGGGAAGAAAAGAAACGAACAATCATACTCTTCTTCATTCAATATTTTTGTTCGAAATAAAAGAAACACATCTAATACATATTAAGAAATGAAAATACATATCCCCGATGAAAAACTATAATATGGACACATTTAATGGACGGAATTGAGTTTAACCTAACTGATTATGTTCATACTTAATTATTTAAAGTAATTTAGGTAGTTTACGTATTTGACTCAAATCGAGTATTTTAGCTTGTGGAGCATGAGGAATAGGTGGTTGTGTAAATACAGCTGGTGATGATGGTGGAGGTAATGGTAGAAGCATTCGTTGATGAGGTGGAGATGATGTTAATAGATCATTGTCATCTGATGATAAATAATGTTGTTGTTGACGATTATATCCTGATAGAATATTATATTTTTGAAAATATTTTTGTGTTGCAAATGACATATTTTTATCAAATATTTGAGGTGATTGTCGTACTGTACTTGGTGGTGTTGGTGATTGTCGATCATAATCAGAAGCAATTGCCAACTGATCATCATCAAGATATTTCATTTGTAAACTACGAACTTCTATTGATAGATCATTTTCGGATTGTTGATTTGATGATGAAATAAGAGCAGCCTTTTGAGGTGTTGAAGGTACAGAAGTAGATGGAAGAGGAACAGATGAAGATACTGGTGGATAAACAGTAGTTGTACTACTTTGTTGATTAATTATTTGCATTTGAAGACCATTAGAAATAAAACTAATACCTGTTGTAGTTGTTGATGTAACATGTTGCTGTTGCTGTTGTTGTTGAATAACATTAGCTAAATGAGACATTTTTTCTGCTTGACGACCACTTTCATCATCAATTGTTTTCATTATTGCTGTATCAAATGATTTTGATGTGGTCATTAATGGAGATGTACATCTTTGATATTCTTGTTCTTGTTGTTGTTTTTGTTGTTGACTAGCCATAAATTGAAAAAATGGTTTGAGAATATCAACTGGATTAAGATCAGTTGGTGCCGATGAAATTGGAGGTGATATTGATCGAACAGGTGTATGCTGATATGGTACAGAAGTATTTTCAACAATAAGTCGTTCACAATCAGTTGATTTTCGAAGAGACACATAATCAATAACTGGTTCTGGTTGACGAACAACTGGCGGTGGTGGTGGAGGAGGAGAAGGAGGAGGAAGTGGAAGTGGTGATTGAAATTGAGCTGTAGAACAAGGTGTCTAAAACAAAGAAATAAATCAAATACTCATAATAAAAATAAATATATTTAAACTAACTCTTGTCGTTGTAGTCATTATAGGTGTTTGTTGTTGATAATGTTGAATTTGTTCAATTTTGGGTGATGATGATGGTGAACTATTTCGATTACTTTTAATCATTGATGCTGATTCACCAATATCATCACTTGTACATGGTGATGGAGGTTCACTTTGAACAGCAACATCACATTTTGTAGATTCTCTTGCTGGTGTTGACATTGAACTTTGGTGTTGTTGTTGTTGTTGTTGAGCAGCTAAAAGTTGAGCAATAAGGGCATTTAATGATTGAATATGAGCATCATATGCTTGCATTTTTTCAAGCATTTCTTCTTTCCATTGAGCATCATTAGTAGCAGTCGATGGTGCAATCGTTGATGGAGCTGGAGATGAAAATCTTATTGGTGGTAGTGGTGGTGGAACTGTTAATGATGGTATAACTGTAGGTACAGGTGCAATCCATTTAGGTGTTGCCATTGTTGTAGTTGAAATCGAATCCCATGACGGTGATTGATGTGTTGATTGTTTTGGTGGTAAACGAGGAACACCAAATAAACTTCCATTTGTATTAGGTGATGAAAGTGTCGTTTGATGATGATGGTTATTATTATTGTTATTATTATTATTATTATTATTATTATTATTATTATTATTATCATCATCATCATCATCATCATCTGAAGGTATTTCTGCTGTGAGAAAAGATATATCTGCTGGTGATTGATTATTATTTGTTGATCGAATTGTTTGACATTGATTAGGAAGATTAATATTTCCTGTATGTGCTCCTAATAAGGCATGCATTTTTGGTCCATCATAAACATGTTTAAATTCAAAATCATATGGTAATTGTGTACTAACATTTGTATCATGTGAATGTGATGTTGGAGGATTTGGCATAATTATTTTTTTTGAACATGTCCATAAATCATAATCAATAATAAATGATGATAATGTTGAATTGATTGTCATTGAATTAACTTCATAAAAATCACATTGACCACGTGATGTTGATAAATAACATGCAAGTAAAAATGATTGTTGTGTTGTATTATTTGTATTTATTCCAGTACGTAGACGTTGTTTAAGAGATGAATTCATACAATAACGAAGACATGCTGCCCAAATAAATGAACATTGAACATCAACAATACCAGATACCCAACTAAAATAAATAAATAAATCGAGAAAATTAGACTAAAGTCTTTTTTTTAGTTAAAATTCTTACATTCCAACTAATGGTAAGGCACATGCTTGTGGATCATTTTCAAGTATTAATAAAACTTTATTTTTTGACATTCGATCTAAACCACAATAACCAAAATGTGGTTGATTTATATAAATACCATTTCCTGTTGATGAACTTAAATTTTTTAATAAAGCTGTTGGTAATATTTGAACATATTCAGAATTAATTGGTGTTAATTTAAAACTATTTTTTATTGTTAAAAGATCAAATGATAAATCAGCATTTATGGATGGTGATAAACGTGATAACATTTGACCATGAAGATATGAAAATTGATGTAATTCAATTGGTAAAGATGAACGACAATAAGCATCGATTATCTACACATAGATTAATAAAAGAAAAACACTTTGTGTCAAAATCAATATAGTCAATTTTACTACAGTTTATCAGCGGATGAACTAAGGAAAATTTTCTTACATAATATACGCCAAAAAGTTTTTCATACGGTTTTTCCAAGAGCTACAATTTGAGTGTAGAAATACTAGGACAATGCTTACGAAGAAGTTGCTTTTGGGTTCACATTCAATGCATAAGGTAGATTACAGTGAGGTATGAAAAAACTGAGAAGAATAAGTGTTTTTCGACTTTCCTTTCAAAAGTATGGCTATTCTATTGGAAGTTTAGTATGTGGCACGATATGTACCAACAAATCGAATGGCAGTATTTCGATCATCTATTTTCATTATTTTATTTGATACTGAAATGAATATTCTATACCTTCATTCCTTCTTGTATCAAGTTACTAGCTGTATTTGTTGTTGTTGAATTTTTATTATCACATCGAATTGGTATAAGAAATTCTCCATTTAATTGTTTATTAGGTAATAATGAATGATGATTATTAATTTCATTTTTTGTTGAATCCGATAATTGTAAACGATCAATAACATATGTTAAACGTTGTGTTTCATCATCAATAATTAATGTACCAACAAATTGTAATTGTGTACGATATGTTGAACCATGTTGTAAACGTATTGCTGAACGAAATACTTTATCTTCAAGTATTAATTGTGGTGATAATTGTTCACGTTGGCATAAACGAAGATAAATTGATTTACCAACTGGTGTTGAATCCCATATAGGAGAAGATAATAAAGGTGAAGAAGAAATGGAAGCATTTTCACGTGGAGTTATTTGACGAGTTATTTTTCTATCAATGGACCATAATGGAGGTGATGATGTGGCTTTGTCTGATTGTAACATCCTTAAATAAATACATGAAAGAAAAAACAAACCAAAGATGAAAGAATTATCAATAAAATCTTCATATCCTCTTCTTCGTCTCTTTTTTTTTTTAAATAACAAACAAGAAAACAAAACCAACACAAATATCATAGCAAAAACGACAAAAATAAAATATAAAATATAAAATTAAAAAATAAAAAAAAAGACAAAAGACAAAAATCATCTGACTGTTACTATAATCGATATAAACAAATCTATCTGTATGACTTAGAGAGCTTTAGCACGTAATGTTAAATTAAGATGATTTGGTCGAAGTTTATGTGTTTGATATACAGACCAATATTTTCCCCAATATTTATCCTTTGAACCAAATGCATGAGTTATTTGATTAATTAAATTAAGATTATCATCATCATCATCAGCATTATTACCTAACCATATACGTAAACCAGTTATATCAAATCGTTTTAATTTTTTAGTTTCATTTTCAAATATTTTTTGCCATAAATCGCCTCTTGAAAAATCCATGTCATATGTAAGACCTTCAATACGAAAATAAAATAAATATGGCATTGTTGAAAGAATTAATTTTATATCAGATAATGTTAAATCATTTATATCAATTGAAAAATATGTTAAATCAGAACAAATTATTGATGATAAATTATGTCGTTGAAGTTGGTGATCAGAATTCATTATATTAAGAAGAGGATATCGACGACGTGATTGTTCAACTTTAATAGTCAATGAATGAAGGTTCGAACAAAAAGATAATAATTGTGGTATATCAGATGTAAAACAAGCATCAATAGTCAGATGGGTTAATGAAGATGAAGCAGATTCAGATATTATAAATTCACGATTGAAACGAAGACATAAGAACTAAAATAAACAAAAAAAAAAAAACAATTTCGTACAAAGACGTGAGATTTTATTTTCGAATTTATTCGAGTTATCTACTGGATGTCCCTAATGTCGTGACCAATTAATAAGCGTAGATAACTCGGGTAGTAATCAAGCTCAGTCAAAAACGTTTCTTTCTATTTGAAAAAGGAGAGTAGTCAGTTTTGATTCTTAAAGAAGTATTTCATTAACAGCGTAGAAAATGTAACCCTTTCAATTCCAGTTTAAAAATGAAGCTTTTTCGATTCTACGAACAGTATGCACCATTTTTTTCTTCGATATCTAATCAAATTTCGATGGTTATTATGAACTTCGGATCATTTAAATGTTTTCTCATAACTTTTTAAACACTTATTTTGATATATTCTTACGAAAAGAAAGCAAGAAAGTCAATTATAATGTTAAAATGATTTAAAAAATGGTCTAATACATTCGTTTCTATGACTATTAAAATATTCGAAGAGCTCGAATGACTTGCTGTGAAGAAATTTATCAATGATTCAATTGTTTAAAAAATATGTCAAACACATGATTAAAAAGCAATAATCAAACATCTGCATGATGTAAAATACATAATAACGAGAAAAATTCAAGTACATATAAAAAATACGATGCATATTGTTGATAGGATTGAAAAAAGTTTAATTTTTAAATTGTAATCGAAATTGTTGCATTTTCTATATTGTTGATGAATTTCGTCTTTACAAATTAAAACTTACTAAAGAACTAAATAATAAAAACATCATATAAATTGTTTAAAATAGGGATTGAATTTTTTGTTTATCGAAGAATTCAATTGACATCATTATGATTAAAACATACAAGTACACTCATCAGTTTACCTTCATAAGCAACAAACTCCATTGAAAAAAAATTATATTAGAGATATACGGGACCAATTTTAGTGCCGATTATTACGATCTGAACTGTAACAAAAAAATGTTCGCGTCACCGGATCCGAAACTATGAGAAAATGTTGTCACGATCGGAATCAAAGATTATAATTCAATATTCTATGATTTTGAGCAAATTATCTAATAAACTATATCGATTAGAATATAATTTAAGATAGATTATCCAAAAAGCTGCTAGTCATCAGCTAAATAAATAAATAAAAATGACTATAGATGAATTGTCTTAGATATAATACGATTAGAAAAGAAAGAACCGAAATCGAAATAAAAATAACTTGATTTTTCAAATCTGTAGTCTAGATTCATTTTATTATCAAAAAAAAAGTAAAATATTTTCTTTCTTTTAATAATAAGTTCTTAATTATAAAATGCTCACTTTAATTGAATTGGATTTACTTAATAATGTATTTGCTATAAGATTAAGTTCATTAAGATTAGTTCCAGATCCATCAAACATATCAATATCAAGTCGTAAAAGTTTATTTAAAGATAAAATATCGGCAAGCATTCGTCTTAATTGATCAAATGTTATTTGTATAAGAGATATTTGACGTAAAGCATGAAAATTTCCTAAACGTATATGTAAAAGAAATATTTTAATTTGGTCATATAATTTTTGTTCATTTGATAAACGTAATGAAATTAATTGTTTCGACATATTAGGTAACATTATTTGACAATGATAAGCAAAATTAGATGGATTTATTAAATGACTTAAATCAAGTGAAATTAATAAACGTGAATCATTTATTATTCTATTTAAACGTTGATTTAAATTTAAAAATGAATGATAAATATAAACAGGTGGATCAAGTAAATCAAATACATCCATTAATATATCATCACTTAAGTCTTCAAATTTTGATTTAGTTAATACTGATGACATTATTTATCTATAATGAGAAGAAAAAAACAATAGGAAACAAAGGATTTAACTATCTTCACTTAATGTTTTTATTTTTGTCTGATTTTTTTTTTGGAACAACAAAAAATACACGCGTACATACGTTTATTTTCTCCTGAGATACAACAAATAAAGACAACAATAAGAAAAGAATACAGAGATTTTTTTTTAGAATCAATTAAATAGAATTTTTTTGTTTTTTTTTTCGTATTATGTTTTTGTACTAGGTTGTTGTGTAAAAGGGTTTCCATCTGTTGTATTAGCAAACGAAATGAATCCATTTGTCATTTGCTATATATATACATATATACAATAGATTTTTTTTGTTAGATAAAAATCTAAGTCAATATAAATAGTTTAATACTTACAGTAGTTGTTGAAGAAAATGTTGTTGATTTATCGGAATGATTAGAAGAAGAGGCACATGGCAAAGTAAAATGATGAGTATTATCTGTTGAAAAAGTTGTAGCAATAGTGTTGAATGAATTTCCTGTGCAACGTAGAATAAGAAACAATTATAGATTGTTTTTTTTTTACTTATAATAAAACATAAGAAGAAATATGAATAGTTAATTGTAACTGGAAACATTTCTTTAGAAGTTTGCTCTTTTCTTTGCTTTTTGGACATATTAATTCTAATAGACATATTAAATTATTTGTTTCGCTTTCTCTCAGAATCCAACATAAAACATGGAAAAAATAGTGACATGTGTGTAAGAAAAAAGAATTTTTTTCACACACATATATATCGTAGCAGTATTAAGAAATGCGTATGACGATATATCGGAAAGTTTAACGAAGATTTGAAAAAAAAAGAACAAAACACAATAACTCGAACGATAAAAATGGTTTTCAAGAATTTCTCAAAGCCATCCCCCATCAGTATTCATTCTAGTACCATCATAATCACCACTTGGGTTCATATTATTGATATTGCAATTTTGAGTAAATAGATTTATATTTGATTGAAGTGTTCCAGTAGTCAATGCCATTTGGTCATTTTGTACTCCATTCCAATATTGTTCAGTTGGTGATTCATGATATTGCCCAGGTGGTACTTGCATCGGTTGATTGGGATATCTAAATTTAAAAAATTCTATTGAGAAAAAAAAAACGCAATATGAAATAATTAAACAATATCAAACCTAAAGTATGGATTTTTTAGATCAAGTATATTCTTAGCTGATATTGTTGTACCATCAATTTGAAGAAATATTTCAACATCATAACTTTGTCTACATAAGAAAATAATGTTTTCATTAAAAAAAAAAAGCATTAAAAACAAATTTTACTTTCTATTTGAATTTAATATAGCATGACCTTTAATAGTTGTTCCTAAATTAACAGTAAGTGGTTTCATAAATAAACATCTAACTTGGTACCAATGTGTTAAAGGTTGTGTAGGTGCAGTTGATAACCATACTTGTGAACTAGAAGAAAAAAAATGTAAAATTCCTAATTTATTAAATATATATATATATATATTCAAAGTAATACCTTGTTCCATTAAATGAGACATCAAACCAAAATGCTAAACCATGTATAACAGCTGCTGTTGTCATTTGAAATGATAATGGAATATTTATTTCATGTAAATCTTCTTCATTTGCTGTTAAAAAATTGACTGAATATTTAATTGGTCGTGCTAAACAAATTCGTATATCAAAATTATCAACAATTGGTTGTTTAAAATATTCATCTAATGCTAAATCACGTAATGTTGTTAAATCAACACCATAAAATGATTGTTGATACCAAAAATTAGCTTTACCAACTTGTTCCATATATAAAGCTTCATCTGTAAATGGTGTTACATAAAGATCACCTGCTGTTGGATACATTTTACCGTTTGGTTTAAGCCATTTTTTTGCATGTAAATATGTTTCTAACATACGTTCATTATATAACATATAACCCATTGGTTCCGATATAATAACATCAACTTGTTCTGGTAATATGATTTCTTCGATTTTACCAGCAATTACTTGTATACAATTATTTAAATGATTGTTATCAACAAGAGTCTAAGAAGAAAAAAATTTAGCATTAATTTTTTTTATATATAGATAAAAATGTTCGTTTTTTTTTGTTTATTACTTTAGCATGTTGGGCCATAGAACTTGCTTCAACAGCATAAACTTTTCGTGCACCCGCTTGAGCAGCAAAAAAAGAAAGAATACCTGAACCGGCACCAACATCAAGTACAATCTAAACAACAAAAGAGAAGAAGGAAATGAATAGGATTGAATTTAAATAATAAAATGAACTAACTTTTCCAGCAAAATCAATTGAATTATCAAGAATAGCTCGTTGATAAGTCGATGTACGTATATAATCTTGCATCATATTTTGTTGTTGTGATAAATAACCATAAAACTAATTAAATATACCGATATATATATATATATATGATGAACGATCAATATTTTAATAGATACTTGAAAATATTGTACTGCTGATGATTCTTCTGTGCGTTCATCGAATTGACATGAGGCATTCCCTTCAATACTTTTACCTGATTTGATTGACAAAAGAAGTTTATTAAAATTGGTTCCATCTAATATCAAAACATTAAACAAAATATATAAATATTCTAAAATGCTAAAGCTGTGTAAAAGTCACGAAAAATTTCAAACAGACCACTACACATAAAGAGTAATTTTTACATTATTTTACTGAGAAGAAAATAAAATATGATCGTGATTCGTTGATCAATGAATGAATTTATTTTCATACATTGAATCAGTATTTTAAGTTATGTTTAATAGAAATTGAAGAATCAAAGTATTCAATTTCTTTTTCTATTAAATTTAGTGATCATATGTCAATATTTATTTTCTGTGTATAAATTTCCATCATTTCAATGTCAATGGTAAAAAAAATTTAGCTCATCCAAAACAACAAATGATAGAGTTTAATTAAATAATTGTTCTGATAAAGTGATTTTTTGTTCTTGTGTACTTTTTCATGTATCATTGTGTCTGTCTTAACATTTATATATACAAGAATAAGTTAGTCATGTTTAAAATGAGAATTAACAGAGTAGATTAAATTTCCGTTATTACTAGAGAAATACTAATGTCAATATTAATTATATTGATCCGAATTCAATAAATATCATGTAACTGTTTTCATTGTTTCTCATATATTGATATAAAAAATTAAAAATGAGGAAATTTTTTTTAGAATTCTTCTATTCAAAAGTAAGAGATATTTTTGTTGAAAACTTATTTTACCTTCTTGATTAGAAAATTTGAGTAAATATGAACGATATTTTTGTTTTGGTAGAGTAATAACAATACCCGTTAAACCAGAACGAATATTTTCAAATGAATCATCCAAAGGAATTGTTAATATCGTCGATGCACCTGAAACCAATACGAACATCTTTTTGTTTTACACGAACAAAATTCGTAATGTCTCACCATTTTTAACTAATATAGCATATTTTTTTTGTTCATTATCTTCCGTTATTAGTAAAAGATTTATTATTACATTTTCACTCTTAAATTGTTGATCATCCAAACATATAACATCAACACTTGAATATTGATGCATCTTCTCTCTTAATATTTGTATTATCGTTTTAAATAAAATGATATTAATAGGTAAAAAGATGATGACGAATAAACGAATACTATTGAATCGACCAACACATATACAATATATATAAATATACAGATAATATTTCTTGCTCGTCAAAGTCACAATACGGAACGAATGGGGTAGATCACCGAAAAAGAAAAATGAATCAAAGAAGATGAAACGTTACAGATGATTAAGTTTTCAGAAGAATTCTTTTCTTATACTACACTATATGTGTACATAGACGTAAAACTACTTAACCAATTAGAATTTTGAAAAAAAAAAGTATTCTATTTTAAACAAAACAAAAAGTAATTAAGTTGAAAACAAAAAAACGGTTCTTTTAAAAAAATTAGATTTTAATTTTTAAAATTTAATTTCCAAATATATGAATGATAGATGTCAGTAAAGAAAATTCAAACGTATTTTTTTTTCGTAGAGGGAATTAATAATAAAGAAAAAAAATGGTTGAATATTAAATTTTTTTTTCTCTTTTTTTTTATTTATCTGTTGGAACGAAGCGACGAGTCAGACTTTCCTAATTGTGTGTAAGTATATCACAATTATAGATATTCATACAGCTGATGCTTCATCATGGAATACAGATACATTGTAACTGATATTTTCTGAAGAAAGAAGAGTGTTTTCTAGTGTCATCGTCAACAGGCCATACGATTAGGGAGGGGAACGGAGGGAATTTCCGCCTCCTAAAATTTTGGAAGAAAGTCTTCCTGGAAAAATTTATCGTTTTTCTCCAGCGGATTTTCTCTTTGGAAAAATATTTTCGTTTTCTCCCAGCAGATTCTCTTTGGGAAAAAAAAATTGTCCCCCCTTGGTCAAAAACAAACGAAAACTCTGATCGTCAATCCTCACTTTTATGCCTTTCTCGCTCTACCATCTAGTAAAACTTAAGAAAAAGTACATTTTCTCTTTGAAAAAATATCAACTCCAATATACTTTTGCATCTGTGGTGAAATATTAGCTATATGAATACTCAATAATACGAAGATTTTATTTTCAGATCTCTAATATTAGTGTACCGACACAATTTACGTTTTTTCAACCTATAGTTTGTACCAGTTCAACAAGCAACAAGTTGAGAACAACAATAAAATTCATCTATTTCAATGGATTATATAGATGAAAATCGTTTACAAGAAAAATCACGTCGTCGGCAACAATCACAAACAAAACATTATAGTGATAAACGACGTTTTGGTTTTATAGATATTGAAAAAGAAGATTTACCACCTGAACATATACGAAAAATTATTCGTGATCGTGGTGATATGACAAATAAAAAATTTCATCATGATAAACATATTTTTTTGGGTGCTTTAAAATATATGCCACATGTTATACTTAAATGACTTGAAAATATGCCTATGTCATGGGAGCAAATACATAATGTTAAAGTTATTTATCAGATTAAAGGCGTGATTACCTTTGTTAGTGGAATTCCATGGACTATTGAACTAATTTTTATTGCACAATGGGATACTGTGTAGATTATGACGAGACGTGAAAAACATGATCGAAGACCGTATGCGTTTTCCACCATTTGATAATGAAGAATCAATATTAGAATATTTTGACAATATTCTTGATATTAAACCATTAGAAGCAATACAATTACGATTAGATCCAGAAGAAGATCAACATATTTATGAATGGTTTTATGATCATAAACCATTAACATTTTTTTTTCTAGTTTTTCTTGTTGGATAAGGAAAAAATAGTACAGTCTATTAATATTATTTACTTATGTTCTCATGGATTTATTCATAAGGTAATGCACTGATAACAAACTAGTTTACTCTTTAATGCTATAAATTGTACAAAATATATCAACATAGAATAAAGAGAAAATCTGCCAGAGCTACTGAGAAACCATTGATTCATTCATTCATTCATAAGTTTTTTTTTTCGAAAAATATATTCTCAGTTGGATGTGTGTAAGGATAAATGTTTTCTTCGTTTCATCCACAGCTTTCACTATTGGGAGAGAGAAACAAAACGAACCCATTTAAGACTTTATTTCTTCATTTAAAAAATTGGTTGTGCACTGTCCGTGTTATCCTACGAAAGTGTTTTTAACTATCAGATCAGAAACAATTACACTATATCAATATTTCATGGAAACTATTGGACATTTACGTATTTTAAGATAACTACTAACGGTAAAATGCTTGGAGAATCATATTTTTGGATGATTACTTCCATGAGTAGTCAACCACGAAACACAAGTTTTTCAGAAGACTTGTTTTCATTTGTAGAACTCTTGACGGTGATCACTTTGATTAAAAAGCAACTTGAAATTTATTCGATAAATCATGTCACTAGGGTTGAAGTGCTCGAAAACGCCCACTACGGCTTCAGCATCAGTCAGGAATAGTCGAAGTTTTTAAGCATTTAGGACCTAGCATCACGGCTCATTGAATAAATTTTAATTTTTTTACCAAAATGATCAGTACAACGAGTTATATTAATCTAAAAATCTTGTGTTTTTCTGCGATTGATTACGCATGGAAGCACTCATCAAAAAAAGCGCCCACATCCATTTTGTAATTGATGGTAAGATATTTATTGGATATCTAATTAGCTACCTGGCCAAAATAGGAAGTAGCTGTCTACATATTGAGATCAAACTCTACTTTTGATGTTTGTCGTATTTTCTATCTGTGTCATATATTATTCTTTAGAATATGACCTAATTCAGTTGCTCGTTCGGAGAAAATAACTAATTTTATTTAACAAAACTGTAAACAGAATTTCGTTTTTACCCAGGCAATCTGTTCCGTTGAAGGATTAAAAATGTTACAGAAAATTTTCAGAGAGAAATACAAAAGGCAAGAAAAAGTTACGAGAGACAAATCACTCTGATTTTTCTTCCCATTGTATGGTCTGAAAAGACTGGATTTATTTTCTTCATTCCAATGAAACCAGCTCGAATTAGACTTTCAATGAGAATATCTTCTTTTTTTTTGAAGTTTTTTTGTTTTAATATTATCCATCTATATTAAGAATGATAAATGGTGTAACATATCGTCGATGGCAATTAACATTACCAACTCTTTCAACACTTTATCGTATGGGTAATCAATTATTAACTGATCTTATTGATGATAATTATTTTTATTTATTTGATTTAAAGTCATTTTTTACGGCTAAAGCACTTGATGTTGCTCTACTTGGTGGTCCTGAATTTGAACCACTTGTTAAAGAAATTAATCCAAAGTAAATATATTTATGTGTTGAATTCTAATAATATTTTTTACTTTCTTTAGTGATGAAGATTGGAATGATATTTAATGATATAAACAAAATAATAATATGTCAGTCAACGCGTACAGAATATCATATTGCTTTTCCATATTTATATAGTTTATATGCATATAAAGTATATCTTTCATGGTATCATAGACCAAATGTTATATTTGTAATAAGTGAAGAGCCTGATTTACCAGCATTTTATTTTGATCTATTAATAAATCTAACATTACATTGTCATACAATAAAATCAATTGATATACAAATAGATGATAATAATCAATTTATTTTATCTAAAGAATTTCAACCATTATTAATTAATTTACCATTATATACAGATTATACAGCAAATGGTATAGAATTATTATGGCCATCACGTCCAATTAATCTTCGTTCTGGTCGAATATGACGTGCAATTGATATCACATTAGTTAATACATGGTATCGTGAACATTGTCCAATTGATCATTTAGTTAAAGTTCGTGTATCATATCAAAAAAATTACTAAAATATATTATTTTAACTGCATTACATCATCGAAAACCAAAAACATAAAAAAACGTTATTTCTTTTGTTCATTTAAATCTACAAAAATTTTCCAATCAACAACACTTGATTGGCTTGAAGTTGGTTTACAAGTTTGTCATCAAGGTTATAATATGTTAAATTTATTAATATATCGTAAAAATTTAAATTATCTTCATTTGGATTATAATTTTAATTAAAAACATGTTAGAACATTAACAACAAACGAAAGTAAAAAATTACGTTTTGGAAATGCATTTCATTAATGTCGTGAAATATTACACTTAACAAAATTAATTGTTTATTGTCATGTGCAATATCGTTTAGGTACTTTATGATGCATTTCAATTAGCTGATGGTTTACAATATTTATTTGCACATGTTGGACAATTAACTCGAATGTATCGTTATAAATATAAATTAATGAGACAAATACATTTGTGTAAAGATTTAAAACATTTAATTTAGTATCGGTTTAATACGGGACCTATTGGTAATGGACCTGGTTGGCGTATATGGATATTTTTTTTTACATGGTATTATGCCATTATTAGAAAGTTGGTTAGGTAATTTATTATCACGACAATTTGAAGGACATCATTCAAACAGTATTGCTAAAACAGTTACAAAACAACGTATTGAATCACATTATGATTTAGAATTACGTGCTTCTGTTATGCTTGATATATTAGATATGATGCCTGAAAATATAAAACAAAATAATGCACGACTTATTTTACAACATTTAAGTGAAGCATGGCGTTGTTGGAAAGTAAATATACCATGAAATATATCCGGTTTACCTATACCGATTGAAAATATGATATTACATTATGTTAAAACTAAAGCTGATTGATGGACATCAACAGCATATTATCATCATGAACGTATAAAACGTGGTGTTACGGTTGATAAAACAATTTCTAAAAAGACTTAGATCGTTTAACACGTCTTTATTTAAAGGCTGAACATAAACGACAACATAATTATCTAAAAGATGGTCCATATATAACAGCGGAAGGAGCTGTTACCATTTATACAATTATTGTACATTGGCTCTGAATCCAGACATTTTTCACCAATACCATTTCCACCATTAGCATATAAACATGATACGAAATTACTTATATTATCATTAGAATATTTAAAAGAAGCATATAATGTTAAATCAAAATTAAATCAACCACAACGAGAAGAATTGGTTTTAATTGAACAAGCATATGATAATCCACGTGAAGCATTATCACGTATTAAACATCATCTTTTAACACAATATGTATTTAAAGAATGTGAAATTGAATTTATGGATTTATATGATCATTTAATACCGGCTTATGATGTTGAACTATTAGAAAAAAAATTATTGATGCTTGTTTAGATCAATATTTATGGTATGAAGCTTCTATTTTTTTTTCAATATTGCACATTATTCAAATATCAGATGATGAAATATATTGAAATTAACAGGAATGTGAAAAAAAGTATTTAATATTGACTAGTAAGCGTTATTACTCTTCGGATAGAAATGAGATAAAAGATAATTGAAAAAAAATAAGTAGGGAGATTGATACTTGTAATGAAAAGACGAAAAGAAAAAATGACTGAACAAAAGGATATGTGAAAAATAAAATCTGTATTCATTAGCAAGAAAAAATCCTACCATCGAACACGAGTGTCGATGTGTTTTACTAGTGGAGGGAGTTAAAAATTTGGTAAAATGCATTTTCATCCTCGGAGTGCTAGAAGTGGTGAGTGAGATGAAGGAAGAAAAAAACCTACCATGATGCAACTCCTCCCACAATAGATGACCTGTCATCAGGCCATCTCTGCTCGACGTCTGCCCCAATTCTCCTATTCACATCGCAACGACATTGTCTGCTAACCTTTATTTCAATTTCTAGAAGAGAAAGGCAAATCATGCTTCAAAATCCAGTCTCTATCCAAAGTTACCACGAAGGTGAAAAAAAATTAGCAAAAAGTGGAACATTTTCGGACTAAAAACTTCATTTTGTTTTGGTTTAATCAATTATTCTTTTTCATGCTCAGTTATTATTTAGTCGTGTGCACTTTATATATAAACTAGCGAGAACCCGTGCATAATGCATGGTCATTCGTTTTCACCACCGAAAGCAAGCTTTTCCAGACGGCGAAGAAATTGCCAAAGATATAGCTAGAGCCCTTACCACGACTATTTCCACATAAGTTATATCGCTGGTTAGGGCTTATATGTTATGGGTGTTACTTGTTGATCTTCAATATAACTGCAACATTACCCACCCAAACGCCAAACGATGTCGCCATCCACTCTCATCCAACAACACTTCCTTCACTCCACATCTTCGCCTGTCTCACTTCACACTACATCTCCATACCCCTCTCACCTCACGCCACATCCCACTGAGCCCCGCTTCCCTTACCTGCACACCATACCTCCCTCATACCAGATCTCCTTAACCCACACTACAACCCACTTTTCCCATACCACATTCTCCCACTTGCAGATCACACCTACACCCAACACCTTTACTCCACACGCTACACCAGTTCTCACCCAGCCACTCACTTCACCGCATCCTATACCTAACCATACTATAACCTTTGACCCTTGACCTCTGACCTTTCACCTGGCACAGACAGACACTGAACATAATATATAGATTCCCTATTTGAAAAGTCTAACAGAAAAATTGACTTAATTCCTCTAAAGCATTAATTGATTTAAATGGGGCAGATCATTACAAGTCAATAATCTGTAATAATTATTCTAGTAAAAGAAAACGAAAAATAGATTTCATGAAAAATACAAGACTATAAACCTGTATTCAAGAGAATCGATAAACAGTGTCCAATTGTTGTAAAATGTCAACTATCAATAGATATTCTTTCGAAGAAAAATGTATGTTTTGCTTTTGATCAAACCTATTCAATACATAGTCATATACAAATAATTACTCAATAATTATTTCCCGTCAGACTATTAACAATAAAATACCTTAAATAATTGTTCAAACATTATTTAAATAATCCTTAAATGTATTGATAATTTATGTATTTCAATACAGGTATAAACAATCTTCAATATATTTGGAATAAAAATGAAGGTCAATGTAATGTTATGGTTGAATCTAATTTTGAAAAATTCCATGAAAAAATTGATCTTACATTATTAAATCGTTTACCACGTTCTTTAACGCCAATTTTATGGGAAACAAGTTTTGTTTCTGTTTATTCAAAAAATAATCCTAATTTATTATTTAATATGTGTGGTTTTGAATCTTGTCTTTTACCTAAAAGACTGTTCATACATGAAGAATTTGTACATAAAGATGATGTTTGGAATTTACAAAATGAAATAACAAAAGAACGTACAGCACAATGTTTTTTACATGTTGATAATCAATGAACAAATCGTTATTATAATCGTATAAGACAAATTTTAATGTCATCTGGTTCAACAATATTTACAAAAATAGTTAATAAATGGAATATAGCATTAATTGGTTTAATGGCTTATCTTCGTGAAACTATTATTAATATACAAGACTTATTAGATTTACTTGTTAAATGTGAAAATAAAATTCAAACTCGTATTAAAATTGGTTTAAATTCGAACATGCCATCACGTTTTCCATCTATTGTGTTTTATACACCAAAACAATTAGGTAATTTAGGTATGTTATCAATGGGATATGTTTTAATACCACAATCAGATCTTCGATGGTCAAAACAAACTGATGATATTATAACACATTTTTGCTCTGGTATGAATCATGATGAAGATCAACTTATACCTAATTTATATCGTTATATAATGCCATGGGTAGCCGAATTTATTGATTCACAATGTGTTTGGGTTGAATATGCACTTAAACGACAAGAAGCCAATACATTAAATAAACGTTTAACATTAGACGATCTTGACGATTATTATGATAGAGGAATTCCACGTATTAATACATTACTTTAAAAAGATCGACATGTATTTGCTTATGATAAAGATTGGCGTGTACGAACTAATTTTAAACAATATCAGGTAAGAATTTTGTTTTTTTTTAATATTGTTTAAAATTAGACTAGCATCGATATTATTTTGAAAAAAAAAAACTTTTAATAAAAGATTCTATATTAATATTATTCTCAAATATTTATATTTGTCATTTAAAACAAAACGATTATTTTTTATATCCTATTAGATTAATTTCATGTTGAACATTGTGGAATGAATTGTTTGAAAAAATATATTATGACTTAAGTGATTACAAGATATTTATCTATTCAAGTTTATTTAAGAGTTAGTTAGAGAAGAAAAACCTAGAAATATGCGGACTAAGAAAGTTTTTCTCGGTGAGGGTACATAAAAAAACGTACCTTTCATATCTCTAGATATAAGAAAGCTCCACTTCACTAGAAGACTTTGAGCTTCCTCTGGAAGCTTTATTATCAGATAGTGTCCGCCCTCTGTTACTTTTTTTTCTGCTTACGCCATCAGATAAAACATGAATCAACATTTCCAAAAATAATCCTAAAGATATCAGTAAATGAAATTTTTATGTGATTGATTAAACAAAGTATTCATTATATTTTAGATCCTAAAACAAAATCCGTTTTGATGGACACATCAATGGTATGTATATTTCTGGTAAATTGATATGACTTAATCTGTTTTCTAATTTTAGACATGATGGAAAATTATGGAATTTGAATAATTATCGTACAGATATGATTCAAACATTAGATGGTATTGAAGGCATTCTTGAACATACACTTTTTTAGAATCATTTTTGAGTCCAGACTACATATATTATGTAGATTCTAATAAGTTATGAATGTTCTGAAAAACGTTCGAGCTATTAGTTTATTGCTGTCGAGGTATTGCATATTTATGGTATCCTTTAGTACAATGCCGTGATTCTCTCTCAGGAACATTAAGAAAATCCAATTTCGAATTTCAATTTGAAACTTTGTACAGAGACAATCCTTAACAAGAATAGTGTATGGTAAAAGTTTCAGATCATTTTATTTTTCCTTCCTTTAAATAAGACTATGGTAAAACCACTTTTTAACTTCGGTCATATACATCGGCAGATCTTGACATTCTTATTTCACAATAGAAACAATCAAAAATATCTGAAACTTTCACAATAAACAATTGTCATCAAGGCCTGTCTCTGTGTAAATTTTCAAGTTGAAATTCGAAACTCAGTTTTCTCGGTTTCTCTGACGGAGACTACGGCGTTGTACTAAATAATATCATAAAAATACAATATCTCGATAACGATAAACAAACAGCCCGAAGTTTTTTTTTCAGGATATTCATAGTTCATTATGATCTACATGATGTACATAGCCCTAACTTAAAAGTGATTTGAGAGATATGAAAATACGACTAAATCACAAATAAAAGCATATTTTACTTTGAATATCTCTTTTCTAGATGCCTAAATTTATACGTCCGAGTCTGACATCCATGCCAAACTTGAAAATTGAATTTAATTACTCAAGAATTAGCAAAAAAAAACAATTTTGCCCGCATAAGAAACTTTTTTTATACGTGCAATGACTCCTGTAGTGCTATAGGCCATACTCGTTTCAATGTACACAATAAAGTCTACTCTTATTTTATGTTTTGACACTACTGAAAAGTCGTACGAGTTCGAACATATTAAGAAGGACGTAAATTTAAACCGATCAGAAGAGTTTGAACATTTTCTTTTATCATTTCTGACTCAAATGATAAACCGAATGAACTCATCTAATTTCTAGATGATCTTATAAGTCATCTACCTATTTTTTGATTAAATAGGATATAAAACCACTTGGATGGATTCATACTCAATCAAATGAATTACCACAATTATCACCAAAAGATATAACAACACATGTTAAGTTGATGCCTGATCATACATCATGAGACGAAGAAAAAATAATTATAATAACATGTTCATATACACCTGGTTCAGTTTCATTAGCTGCTTATAAATTAACATCAAGCGGTTATAAATGAGGTCGACTAAATACTGATCGTGAAAATAATTTCAAAGGTTTGACTTTAAATCATAATAATAATAATGAAAAATATTTTTGAAATTCTTTTTATTTAGAATATGTTCCATCACATTATGAAAATATTCAAATACTTTTATCCGATCGTTTCTTAAGATTTTTTATGATACCAGAACAAGGTTCAAGGAATTATGAATTTATGGTAAACTAATACTTATATTTATTTTTTATGATATAGATTTTTTTTTTGTTTTATTTTTAGGGTACTCGTCATGATGCTAATATGAAATACGATTTATTATTATCAAATCCAAAAGAATTTTATCATGAAATTCATCGTCCATCGCATTTTCTTGATTTTTCAAATGAAGAAAATTCTGATGTTGATGCAACTGATCATGAAGATCAATTTAATTAAAAATAAAACAAATAAGAAACCGGTTATTTTTTTTCGCTCTTTTATAAAAATACGCCTTTGCTTTTACTGTGATAGCTATTTTTTTGTACGACAATAAATAGTCACGAATAATATATGACGACATCTATCATTGTTGATTCAGTTTGTTTTCTTATTTGTGAATAATCGAAACGAATCTCTATTAGTAATACTTACAAAGAACAAATTTTGACTCATCATTTTTCTATATTCTAGATTATTCTCATTAGGATTATTTTAATCAAGTTTTCTTTTTTACTCGTATTTTTAAAAAATGAGTGAGAATAACAATGAACAAATGGACGTTGGAACAGGTACAACGAGCAATGATAATGTAACTGATGTTGCTGATACAGCACCTACTACTGCTAGTCCAAATCCTGAAGAAGTTACAACTGAAAATACAGCATTGAATTTAAAATTAACAATAAAAACACCAAAAGAAAAAAAAGATATTTCAATTGATGCATCTTCTACTGTTAAACAAGTATAATTAGAAAATCAAATTCTCTATTTGTTTTCTTTTCTTTTATGAAAAATTTTTTCTTGTTTTAGTTAAAAGATATGGTGGCTAATGAATTTAGTACATCAATTGAACAAGTATGTCTTATTTATTCAGGCAAAATCCTCAAAGATGATGAAGATCTTAAAAAACATGGTATGAAAAAAGAAATCATTTTTTTTAATCATAATTCTTGTTTGTTTTTTATTCTTTTAATTAATAGATATAAAAGATGGTGTCACACTTCATTTGGTTATTCGAGCACCTAAAACAGATTCAACAGCTGCAAATACATCGGCTAGTGCAGCAACAACGGCAACTAGTGATACACAAGCATCTGCTAATAATCCAAATACAGCACAACCAAATACAGGTGGTTTTCCATTTGGTCTTGGCTTAACACCTGGAATGGGAAATTTAAATTTTGCTAATACTAATTTTCTTGATATGCAACAACAACTTCAACAACAAGTAAATATATTTATATATACCATAAGTTTAATATTCAATGCTGATTTGAATAAGATATATTTCTAAATTGAAATGCATCACATTCTGTTATTGGATTTATAGAAAGAAAAAGAGTACAGTAGAGCTTATACTTCGAAACAAGTCGACAAAGTTATGAAAAGTTACAAATGAAGCATTTAGAAAAGATGCTTTAACATATTTCGAACAGAAAACATCGTAAGATGATTTTCATTGGCGGGTTCTACATTCTACAGAACGATTCTTTCATTCATCTTTTGACAAACATATTAAGCTTGTCTGTATATGAGATACGATGTCAAATATTATAGATCTTCTATTGATACAAATATCATGTTAATAAACATTATCTATGTTTTCCAGAAGCAATAAAATGAATAAAAAAGATACTTAACATCCGTAGAGTGAGCGAAACAAACATAAAAATAAGTGTTCTTTTTATTACTTTTTCTTGAATTTCTCATAAAAACGAATAAACTAATGTAGTCTATTTGACTTCGTGATAAATGTGTTCGTCTTTGAACAAATGTCAATCCAGGTTGAGTTAAATGATCTTTTCATTGAAGTACTAATCATTAGTATGGGATACAATATTCGAGCTACTATTAATAATAATAGAAAATCACAATGAGTTTCACTACTAAACCCAAACTCCACTGGATTACGACCACTCAAATGACTTGAACATCCTGTCACATACTCTTATTTCAAATTTATTAGTCTTCTTATTACATATACATATAGTAACTTTTGAGAGTGAAATTCATTGTAATTTTTCTATAGATAATGAGTAATCCGGCACAACTTCGTCAGTTAATGGAAAGTCCTATGGTACAAAGTATAACAAGTAATCCAGATTTGTTACGTTCCTTGTTGCTTAGCAATCCACAAATGCGTGATTTAATGGAGGTAAATTAATTGAGAATATGAAAGTTTGTTTTTATACAAAAAAAAAATAATATTTTAAGCGCAATCCTGAAATATCACACTTACTTAATAATCCTGATTTACTTCGACAAACAATGGAATATGCTCGTAATCCAACAGCATTGCAAGAACTTATGCGTAATCATGATCGAGCTTTAAGCAATCTCGAAGTAAATATTTATTTTCTTATGAATCTTTTTTTTTTTCATTAAAAATTGTCTTTACTAGAGTATTCCAGGTGGATTTAATGCTTTACAACGTATTTATCATGATGTACAGGAACCAATGTATTCAGCAGCGCAAGAACAATTTGGCAATAATCCATTTACACAATTGTTTACTGGAAATGGAGGTATTTAAAGTGTCTTCATTTTCGTTTTTCGATTGTCTTTTTTGTAATTTTTGTCATAGAAAATGCATCGGCATCACGTACGGAAAATACGGATCCATTACCAAATCCTTGGGCACCTCGAGGTACTGCTGCAGCTGCAGCTACAGCTACTGCAACTAATCGTCAACAACAGCCAACTAATACGTCAAATAATCAACAACAGCAGCAACAACAAGCACCATCAGCAATTCCAACTGGTGCTGCTGGTAGTTCACCCGG